TTTTAACCTGATAAAGCAACCATATATGGTGCAACACAATCTAGAAACTAAAGTGCATAGTAAGCGTTTGTAAGCAGTTTTTACCTTTTGCTTTGCATCCTACGCCCACATAGCTACCTAAGCACCCTCTAAATCTTAACATATTTACTATATTCTACGAACTATTTGTACCAATATTCGAATACTGAACTCTATGATGATGAAGTATTTCTAGGCACATCTATTGCCTAGAAATACTTCATATCGCAAATTTCATTGATCAGGTAGTGTGCACTATTAGATGTTAACTGAGTTTCTCTAGTCTCTTGCACTGGTAAAATTTTTTGCTACTTCGATTATACAATTTGAAAATGTTAATTGTTGATGATCTAGCATGCCTGGGATAGTCTGCAATATTGGGGCAATACCTAACGAGCGACAGCTTTGTTGGTATTTAATTTTGAATTAATTAATTGTCAAGATAAAAGTAATTTTGGGATCTAGTTCTTATGCTTATGAATGCTACTTGGAATATTTACGTGATACAAGTTGAAATGGAAAAGCTAGGATTTTATTCTTTTTTTGATTTGACTATATATTTGGCGAAAATTCTGTGTAACAAACATCTGAACAAAGCAGCTGTAACTGTAAGACTTATAATTAAAACTATAAGAAGCGTGAAGATAACGTCAAGCGAATGGTACTGGAAGAAGTTGAGTTTATTTCCAGCTGGTTCGAGATTTTCTAATGTTTTGAACTTCGCAACGAATTCCGACCATTTCACCAGCAGCTGCGCAGGACTAACAGGCTTATGCTCTACCATTTTGGAAAGCCTTTTTGCGGCTTCGAAGTACCTGAGAGGTGAGCCATTTACATAAATAACATAATTTAAAATTGTCGTACTTCTTATTCGATACGATTTCTTCTATTGCCTTTGATATTGACTCTGCAGATAATTCGCTCTTCTGTAAGATTAGACCAAATCCGTGGTGTTTGGCTAGCAACGCATTTCTAGGTTGATCGCCGTAGAGAGGTACTGTTATTACAGGCATTCCAATATTGATGGCTTCCTAGAATACATTTTTGGGTATTTCCTTCAAGAATTGCGAATATTTAACTTCATCTTTTAAAATATAAAAAAGCCGAATGTTGTCTGTATGAGCACATCATTCTTGGTCTCGTATCTTGAGTATGAGCTTAATCCTGTTCATTGGTTTAAACAAACTTCATGAATTTTGAAGAAGCACTTTCTGTTGCTATCCTAATGAAACACTGCGATTATAGACCTGAATGCTATTGTATCCCGCATGAGTGATGAAAGCCTTGGTTTTTGAATGACGAAGTAAATCGGTTTGTGGTAGCCATTTGTAGAGATAAACATTCGGGGGCAGTATTGCTTAAACGCGGGATTTCAATGTGAACATTTTTAGACTCATTCGAAAAAGAAGATTGGTCGAAGAGCTCTAGTTCAAACCTTTAATGTCGTCCTTCTCGTATCTCCACAAGAAGTTGTAATTTGGAAACTTTTTAAACGCCTCCACAAAAGAACGCTTCCATTCCAAAGGCATATTGTGGGAAGGTGCGATAGAACCAAATGAAAATAGTATGGTAGCATCTCGGGATTCCACGATTTTGAGTATTTCCTGCAATAACGATCACAGCGGCAGATTGTGCCAATAGTTTCAAAGGAAGTTGTGCGAACTTTTACCTCAGGCAACGGTTTTGTGTCTTTGACTTCCATACCAATTCCACCAATCAGTACCACCTTCGCCAGTGTTGGACGAGGAGTATCGTAGAGTTCGTTAGAGTTCGCCATGACCTTAAATTATTGAAACTGGTAT